CTCTCCAGCCCCATTGTACCAGATGGTACCGTATGGAAGTACCACTGATCCTTTGACTCTGTTGATTTGTAATTAGGTTTCTAGTAATTAATATAGTTTGCAGGCCTTGCGTGAACTCTGCAGATTGCCCATTCATGTAAATGATTAACTGAAAGGGGATTAATCCTGGCATAAGTTCAACTAAAAAGAATTTTCCAGACTGAAAATCTTCTCCATTAGTCTCGTATATTGTAAGAGAGAATGAAACATTAAGTTTCTACTTGTGTAGTTCCATTTAAAAAGGAGTAACTTGATATCAGAGTGTAAAAAATGTCTGCATTGAGGATATAAATATACATTTGCTGCTATAGATCTTTTAGTCTTCAATTTTATGGAATTCAAAATGCATATTCAATATGAATGAGTAGTTGGAAAAATCTAATTATCATTGCTAATATAATATAGTTCATAGGGTAAATTCTGGCTTTGAAAAAAAGAATATGTTTTAGAATTCTACAGTTCGTGGCTGTGTTGGTATATGCAAGGTTGAAATTCTTACAGCTGTAATAAATCAGTGGCAACAGGGGCTGTCACATACCTCTGCTCACAGCGAGTCCATCCAGCACATGTCACTGTCATAGAATCCCAGAATGGTTGGGGTTGGACAGGACCCTAAAGACCACCTCATTCCATCCTCCCTGCCATGGGCAGGGACACCTTCCACTAGACCAGGCAGCTCCAAGCCCGGTCCAACCTGGCCTTGAACCTGGCCTTGTCCTGCCAAGTGTGCAGCCCCCTCAGGTCAGGCAGAGCTCACTTTTGCATGCTGGCACCAGAGTTGCATAACTTTACTTTTTGTTATGTTTTAAAGTATTAAAGTACAGCGAAATATCAAAATCTTCCTCAACCTTTCCACCCACGAAGTCTAACAGAGTTTAGGGGGCTGTTTAAGGTTGCTCAGTACACATTTGTGAACCCAAGGTTTTATCTGGCTTTGTATTTTCTCAGTGCCTCCTCAAACTCCTCCTGTGAGCACTCTATGGTTATCCATAAATATGGAATGAGGTGGTTGGATTTGGTTTTCATTTCATTTCACACAGTGAAATGTATTTTAAATGGCTGCCTGAGGAACTACTGAGGCTTCTAGGCCATTAAAATCAGAAGGTTGAATATTTATTTTGAGGGAAAAGATGAGGATACTCAAACACTTTGGATCAAATTGAATCCTCAGGCATGCACATTGATCTGGGAAGTCTGGAACGAGTTTGCTCCAGGGAAGTGTCAATGTTGTAAAATATTTCTGAGAGTGTAGGAATAGATGAAAATAAAGTGTTTATCCAGAGGGTAGCACAGTGCTGATCTGTACCTGGAAGCCTGAGCTGTGTTTCCCAACCTTGGTTCTGCAGAGCACTTCCCAGTGAGTGCAGCTGTGTCCGTTCTTCCTTGGGGAATGGTCTTTCCACCCCATCCTGTTTGCAGTCTCTTCCGAAGGATTTTATCTGGCCCTAAAGCTGATCCCGGCTGCTCTGGGGATTGCCTGGGTGTGAAGAAAGTCAGCATCAAATTAGTGCATGACACAGATGTTGTGGCACAGCATCACTGCCAGCTGAAGGATTCCCAGCTGTGTAGGCAAGGCTGAACTTATGAGGGGTCAAAGTCAGAGCTAAAAACAAGAAAAACAAGAAAAACAATAAAAAACAATAAAAAAAACCTAAAAAGAATAAAGCAATAAAACCTAAAAACAATAAAACCTAAAAACAATAAAAAACTAAAAACAATAAAGCAATAAAACCTAAAAAAATAAAAAACTAAAAACAATAGAAAGAATAAAAAACCAATTAAAAACAATAAAAACAATAAAAAACCAATAAGAACAAATTTAAAAAAACTAAAAAACAATCAAAAAACCAATTAAAAACCAATAAAACCCAATAAAACCCAATAAAACCAATAAAACCAATAAAACCAAGAAAAACAGTAAAAACCAATAAAAACAATTAAAACCAATAAAACCAATAAAAAACAATAAAACCAAAAACAATAAAAACCCCCAAAAAACCCAATAAAAAATAAAAAAACAATGAAAAACAATAAAAGTAATAATAACCAATAAAAAAACAATAAAAACAATAAAAAACAAGAAAAAACAATAAAAACAAGAAAAAACAATAAAACCAATAAAAATAATAAAAAGCAATAAAAAAAATAAAAAAATAAAAACAATAAAAAACAATAAGAACCAATTTAAAAAACTAAAAAACAATAAAACAAAAAAAACCCAATAAAAATAAAAACAATGATAACAATGATAACAATGAAAACAATAAAAACAATAAAAACCCTAAGAGCACTAAAAACAATAAAAACAATAAACCCCCTAAAACCAATAAAAACAATAAAACCAAGAAAAACTATAAAAAAATAAAAACAATTAAAAAACAATTAAACCAATTAAAAAAATGGATGGAGACAGCTGTGGAGTGCATGGTTTGATGTACATGGCTGGGAAAGATGAGGGCAGTGAATGTGGTGCTGGATCAGGCCACTCTTCCCCTACCTCCATTTGGCAGCAGCTCCTGGCATGTGTGTTCTGAGTCAGCACAGCCCAAGGGTGAATCCCCTGGCACTGGCCAAGTCAACCAGGGAGCAGTAAACATTTTTCCATCCCCACCAATTTCCTGGTCCATGAAACTGCCCCCACTTCACTGGGGCAGCAAACTGGGCCACACAAGAGAAGCCCATGGAGGCAAAGCTGGGGAAGGGAATTGCCATGGAAGCAAACAAAGGTCACAGTGTTACTATGTGCTAAAGGACTCAAAATATCAAAAATCCCTGGCAGATAAATACCCAAATCATTAATTTCTGTATATATACTGGGCCAAGTGCCTCCCTGGTATAAGTGCAGCGTTTGTAAGGCAGCAAGGATGGGTTTAGTCCAGTGTGTTTAGATTCTCCATTATTTATACCGGATGCTTGGGGTTTTGTTTTCCTTAATGGATAATAAGGGTCATCCCAAACAGAGTTGTTACTTTGCTTGGGTTTCATTGAAAGAGACACTACTAAAGGGAGAGGAAATCCCCAAAATGATACTTGGTGATTAAGTACATAGAATATAGGATTTCAGTGTTTGCAAATCCTTTTTTTCAAATGAACTTGTGGCACTAATCCTCTAATGGCATTATTTCTTTGGAATATATGCCGGATTAAGGAGTCACAATGAGGCAAAGTACAAAAATCCACATTAATCTCTCACTGATGGATGCTGTGTGGGATGCAACTTTAACTATTTTGTTCCAAAATTGGTTCTGTTCCTAACCTTGCCCTAGGCCTAGACAGAGGGCAGAGTGGACATAAACAAGTGTGACACTGAGCACCCGGCAGATGGTCACAGACATTTAACTGGATAGAGAGGGGAAGGCATTTATTATTTTTAAACTCCAAAAGCTCAGCCTGCCCCGCGCTGCCCGTGACGTGCTGCAGGAAGCAGACACAGGTCTGGGAGGCAGGAGCAGGACACCTGCTCAGAAGTGTGTCACGGAGGAGACAGACACAGCAGATAACAGGGCCTGGCTGTCATGATAGATCCTGTGTTACAGCACAGCCTGTGGCAAAGCACTGCTCGTGTTTGCAGCCCAGTGCAGCCACCTCACTCTCATTAACTGCTTTGGTTTGGGATAACCCTGTTGTCCCCTCTTTCCTCACAGCTGATGTAAAAAAGGTAAAGATTTGCTTTCTACGAAGAGGAGACACTGTGAAACTGCATTTCCCTTCTCACTGAATTACAGGCAGTCTGTGAGGTATTGTCACTGTCACTCAGCAGCCTCCAGTGATGAAAGAGTTTCTGCATGGGCAGCACATCACCTGAAACACTGATGTCAGATTGTGCGAGTTAGCACAGCCCAACCACTGTAATTGGTGCTTAACTTGCTTAAGGATTTCCCCAGTTTCAGGGGACAGAGGTGATCAAATATTCCCATTCCACATTCTCATTGAATTGCAGTGGGCATTGAATGTCTTGGGCCAGAAGAACCTGGCACGTGTTCAAAAATACAGGTTGCTTTGTCCCTGCTTCATCCCTGGTCACTCTTGTTAAGCACAAGTAAAGAGCTGCCAAATCCAACAAATTCTTTACTGACACAAGTGATTGGGATCTTCCATAGTTTTTGTAGCTGAGATGCCTGAACTTGTGAAGTTAAATAGCACACAGAGAGTGATTCTTCCCAGTGGATACGGGTCTGTAATGAGATGCTAGTTTCAGAAACTGGGACAGGACAGCCACTGTTGGTGTCAGAAAACCCTAAAACCAGCTTGGAGATCCTTTCTGTTCAGGAATAGATATGTGCCCTCCAGTCCTGCAGGGAAAGATGGTTGATCACAGTGGGTTTGTACATTTTTCCCTGGTGTAAATGTTCCCCGGTGTGACACTTCTCATGGGCATGATGTTCACTCTTAAGTTTTTCTGTTCTTAATCTTATCCTTTGGGTCCTTGTGCCTTATTCCACCCTATGGGAATCATTAGTGCATTGACACACTGAGTCAGGCCTGTCCTCAGGGCTGGTGTCTGCTCAGCTGCTTGCAATGGAATCATTAGTTTTGTTTACCAGCTTTATCATTCCCCACCAAAACCACTCCAGTTCCCATATGTCTTTAGTGTGCACATATCCATGGATGGCCTCTTGTGTTTAAGGAAGTATAAATTATATTGCAACAGGTGCAGACAAAGGTGAGCAGGAAATGATAAGGGAAGTTGAGAGTTTGCCACATGAGGGGAGACAAGAAGAGTTTGGCTGGTTTAGCCCACAAAAGGGAAGACCTCACAGATTGAAAAGGATTATCAAGGCTAAAGAGATTCAGCATAAATGGCCATTATATGGTTAAGACAGGAATTGTAAGGTTCTCCATTGTGGAAATCAGACTTTAGGGCAGACAGACAAAAAAGAGATATAATGAAGTTTGAGGAAATATAGGGTGTGTCCAATGACTGCATTGTAATGTTGTGTCATCATGTTGCCCACAAGCAGATTGCAGTGGATGATGCAGTGTGACCTCCTCCCGTGTCTCCTGTTGCCCCAAAATGAACAGGAGTGCCTGGTCCTCTGTATCCCTTTTCCTTACTGAACTGTGCAACATCCTGCTGACAGCAGGGCTCTGCTCAGCCCCCAGCACTATTTCTGACCAGTATGGACAAAAGGGGTGGGAAAACAAAGAGCTTTTCTTCAGGTAGTCTTGTAACCTGATCTATAGGGTGACTCAGCCCCTTGGAACAACAGCTGTCTCAGGGAGGTACAGTGCTTTGGGTGCAGCATCGAGGGCTGTGCTGCCACTTCCTGATTTCTGCCTTGAGAGTGATCTCAGCTGGGACATGATCAGAGAATTTACATGGACTTCTCAACCCTCCCCGGAAAAGAGAGGCCAGGCACAGCAGACTGACTTTGGGATACAGTGCAAAGGAATAGAGGCATTGAGGAAGAGCCCACACACGGCTTGTGCAGAGCTGCTGCTGTCAAACTGATGAAGGCAGAAACTTGTGAGAGAAAACTACGTGGAAAGTTCCTCTTAAGGAGAGGAGTGGGGTTTTGTTTGCATGTCATGGCTTACCTCTCCTGCAAGCCCTGAAAGTGCTGTGAAACGTGAAAGGGATCTTCAGGAGAACCAATGGAGAAGACAGGTATGTTCTTTGTCTAAAATAATACCACTCTACAGCATGAAATCACAGCCAGGGTAAGCAGGATTGCTCTGCAGCTCAGGATCTGTGCACGTACATCTTGGTATATTGGTTTGTATCAGCTCTGTATTTATAAAAAATACAACTGTGTCAACATATTAAGAGTCAGACTTTAAACAGTGCACCAGCTTTTTGTAACTGTAAGTGCTCTGCCCTTGAAAACTTGTATTATGGCAGAAAACTTCCAACACAGTGAGAAAATGTACATACATATATGCACATCTGTATATATATACTCACATTTTTAAATACACGCACACAAAGTATATGTGTTCTGTTATTAGCATGAAGGCAATGGTGGTGAATTCTCAGTGCCATTATGAAAGAAGGTAAGCAAGAGTGAACTTTACAAAAGTTAATTCTATGTCTGCTGATCCCCTGAAAGATGACATGCTGAACTGCCAGGATAAGCAGGAAGAGGACACCCCAAACAGTTCCCCGTTTGACTTTGTTATAAAACAGTTCCAAGGAAAGAGCTGTGCTCCTGAAAAAAGGAAAGAGCAGCCTTCAGCCATCAAAAAATTCTTCAGGGGCTTTGACTTTGGGAAATCTGAAGGCAAGGACAGAAGGGAAATTGAAGAAAAAGAAATAAACAACTCTGGAGCTGATGATCAGAGTGAAAAGGAAGATCTCTCTGTAGAAGGTAATGCTGGTACAATAATGAAATATATGTGCATGTGTATATATTTTAATTTCATAGAAAATCACTTGCTTTTTTTGCTAGCCAAAATCCTGTATTTGCTCCTTACAGCTTATCTTTTGATCAGGATTTACTTCTGATTGGAACATTATCAAGGATGTACCCTCTAATTTGATAGGTGCCAAGCAAGGAGTAAGATCCATGTTGCTGAGGAGGGATAAAGCTTTTGGGTGACCTCTCCCTTGGTCTCCCATGCGAGAAGTCAGTGCTGAAGTCAGCTCATTAGTTGCAGAGCTTATTTGGTTTCCGAGCCAAGCTTTGAGCAGCAGCTTGGCCTGTTGTATTTAGGATGGGTCTCTGTCCACCCTGCTGCTAAAGCAATCTGAAGACAAGAAGAGGAGGTGTTTCCTTCCACTTGAAACTGGGGAGGGGAAGGGAAAGCGAATGGGAATTCATCATGTATGTTATTTTGCACACACAAGAATACTCTTTACAATCACACCAGGGAAAATGAGGCTATTTTTAAAAAGGAGCTGGAAGATGAGGCTCAGAATTCCGTCCTTGGTCCTAAGGATTTTTAGTCAGTTTGGGGAAACAGTGACAGGACAGCTCCTGAGAGTGGGATTGCTATTTTGTGTAATTTTTGGCTGCTTTTTTTTCATCTGTAGGCATTAGATGAAATTACTGATGTGTTAAAGGGTTTAGCATTGCATGTAAATGCAATTTTCCTTGCTGTACAAACTGCATAGAAGAAGGAGGTAAGTGGGTGTTGCTTTGCAAAGCCCAGAAAAGCAGGAACTCCCTTACACAGATGATGTATGAAGCTGAACACGGGTTGTCATGAAGGAAGCAGCAGGTTCACCGCACAATTGCAGGGCCACTGGGTGCTGAGGGATCCAGCTCAAATTGCTGAGCAGTGTGGCTGCAGTGCAGGCACAGCAGTGGTAACACAGCTTGTGTTTCCCAAATAGCTGCAGCTCAGAGCTGTGCATGAATTTCATGTCCTTGAACTGGTGGTGCAGTTCCAAACATCCGAAGTCACTGGCACAAGGCAGTGTGGAGAGATGCAATGGGAGATTCTTTTCTCACTCTGCAATAGGAGCTTTGTAGTGATTTGATCTATAGTGATCTTACTGCTCAGGTCAACATTGATCAAAATCAGAGCCTGGTTTACTGACAGATTTAATTCATTTCCTGAAGTCTTTCCATGGCAGTCTCAGGCAGGTTTTACACCTTTTTTAAGTACCAGAGGTAACCAGGGCCCTATTTCTCTGTTGCTCAGATGGACACTCACATCTCATTTCTGAAGCGGAGTCCCCATCTGGTGAGCAGAGATTTAACCAGTTCATGCAGAAACTGGGAAAGAAACCCAACAGCAAGAATCTTGATCTAAATAATTGTGCATTAAGTGAAGAAGATGTAACAGAGCTGGGTAAATAAACATTTTATTCAACTAATCACTTCATACCCTTCTTTCTTATTTACCTATTCAGTTATTCACTCTTCTCTTTTCCTTCCCCTTTCTTTTATACAGGCCTGGCCTTTTTTAACATTTCATCTGGTGGTCCCAGAGAAATATTAATTAATAAATGATATAAATGATGTAATATATATAAATATAAAAATCATACAGGTCTGTGAAGCAGATGAATGTCCTTACACTCAAACTGCAGATAAGAAAACTGAGGTACAAATTGTCATGGCTTTTTAATGCTTATTGGTATAGAAACACCTCAATATTAATATGTGTTGACATCCAGAGTGTGCAGAAACATGCAAATATGCCTTTTCTTTTCTTTTCTTTCCTTGCAGCTTCTTTACTGCCATTTCTCCCAGAGCTGGAAGAGATCAGCCTGTCCTGGAATGGTTGTGTTGGTGGGACTTTGAAGGCTCTCACTGTCCATCTTCATCATGTGAACCTGTTAAAAGTCCTTCGACTTAACAACTGCAGGCTGACAGCTGAGGATGTCATCTCCTTAGGTACAGGATTTCATTTACATTTACTTCCAGACAGCTTGGGGCTAATGTAATCCATCTCATCTCTTCCTACATCCCACTCCTGCTGCTTCCACACTGGGCAATGTCAACTCCTGCTGTGAAACAGCAGAAACTTGGGCTTATGGGTGACCTTATACCCTTAGGTACCTCTGCCGAGTTTGTTCCTCAGGGTGTGAAGCTTTCACACTCAGAAGGGAAGAGAATTCAGTCCTGTTTGCAGGAAAGCATGTTTGCAACTTAGATCAGTATTTTTTTGGCTAGCTGTGATATCTAATGGTAGATAGAAGGCCTGAAGCAGAGTCGGTCAGAGTAGGGTCAGCTCAGGTCTTCAAGCTGCAGGACAGATGAGTGCTCATCACAAAAACCCCAATGGTCTTTTGGAGGAGAAAAAACAGAAATGCTGCCTCAGAACTTCATGACTTGGGTTTTTTTCAAGTCTGAGAGAAGCCCATCCCTCTGTTTACTTCTTTCCTTGGAGTGCCTGCATCCTGCTTTCTGCAAGACGTGAGATTTAAAGGTTATAAAGATGGTATTACACACTCAGGTTCTGACATTGAGTCACCTCTGGGCCTGGAGTTTACTCTGGGGTGGATCTGTGGTTTGTATCTAAAAGAAGGACAAACTCAATCAACTATGGATTATAAAAGTTACTGTTTATTTTGCAGGTTCTAAAACTGGTCTGAGTTTAAAAGCTGGTGTTTGTTTATGTCATTCATATCCAAGCCTTTTCCAAGAAAGGTTCAGAAATAAAATTACATATATGTTGGTAGCTCAAAAGCAGGTCATGCTATCTGCTAGGGAGGAAAAACACATTTCTCCAAAAGCTGGTGAAAATAATTGATCTATTTCTGATGAGGGTAAAATCTGTGGTTTATTTTCTATTATTTTTTCAAATTAAGTTAATTCTTTTTCAAACCCTTTTCTCATACTTTTTTTTTCCTTTTGAGTTTTATTTGCTATATTTCCAATTGATTTATTCTGCAGGGTTCTGTGCTGTTTCCTTCCCATATCTGTTTATCCTCTGCTGAGACAAACACAAAACTGATCACAGGACTTGAATTTCCAGTCCAAATGTGATGCCCTTGACGTGGGGAATAACAACAGTCAGTTTGCATTGATTTTGCCTGCGATTTTGAAAATAACTCGTGTATTTAGGCCAATATTGACTGTTTGACCTTGTCCACATCTATCTGAGGAAATGTGACCTCTTGTGGATTCAGTGCATTCTGCTTAGAAACCAGTGTCTCAAATGTAACCATAATAACCTCTCCTATGAGATTGCTCAGAGCTGTGACTGTGTGAGGTGATAGGAAACCATTCCTGGAGTTATGGTCCTTTATTTATCTTCTGGGTGGAAAGTGTGTCTGGAATGCTTGTCCTAATGTCAAGCAGAAACAGGCTGTGCTGCACTTCTCAACTGTACAGTTTGTTCAGTATTCAAGACTGAGGCAATAATTTAAAATAAATGCAAAAATAAAAATTAAGACAAATCCTTTTCTCTCAAACCTAGATATTCACTTACAGAAATAATTATTTTTCTATTATAAATCTTTTGTGAAGAATTAATTATGAAAACATACACATGAAAGGGTGTTACTATTAAAATACAGTTCTCAATTATTAGGTTGATGACAAGACTTTAGATCAAAAATTTTTGTGGGACACTTTGAAATTGCATTTGCATATGGTCTGATTAATTGATCTTTCTTGGGAATGAGTATATGCAAATATGCATCTGCCTCCCTCCTCTGCAAAGGAAGTTAGGAAGCTGGATTTTATAGTGGGATGTTAGTGTTTCAGAGAAGCACAGATCATGCTGGCAGATGCCTCAAGCCTGGAAAAGGCTGATTTTTCTGGATGTAATCAAGGTCAGTGCTGTCTGCCTTGAAATCATGGGAAAGTTAGTTCAAGTCAAAACAGTGATCATCTTGCTTTCTTATGAAGTGAGTCAGAAACTCCTGTCAGACATGAAACTTTCACATTTCAGAAATAGTAGTGTGAGGAATTCTTCCCTCCCCTCCAAAGTGACCTGTGGACACAGCACAGAGGATGTTGGAAGTTTGCCAAATAAAACACAGCAGAACTGTACAGGACAGTAAATTCAGACTTGTCACTTGTATTGATTTCCCTCTAGACTGGACTTTTTGGGTCCTGGCACAGGTCTACAGCAATGTTCAACAGCCTGATGAGAGTTTGGGAATGTGAATAAATTTCAGGTCTTGTGTGTACTGTAACAATGACTTGTGATCTACAATGTTCCTTAGACAACCTGAGATTTTATACAACTTTGCTGCAGGAGTAACAATTCATTCAACAATTTTCCTGGCAAGACATTCAAAATAAAGTAATTTGAGAATTAAGTGGCTAACCTTCCTCTTTAATATATTTCAAACCTGTATTTTTGTTTGTACTGAAATTGATACCTAGAACGAATCATCCCATATTTCTGTTACAGGAGAGGCATTTGAAATTGTTTCTCAGCTTGAAGAACTGGATTTGTCATGGAACAGTAACATAGGTGGAAAACTATCGCTGCTGACAAAAAAATTCCAGAAAGGATGCAAGTTAAAATGTCTGAAAATTACAGACTGTAACCTGACGGCAAAGGATGGGGAATCCCTTGGTATGTGTGTCCATCTAGCTGGACTGAGACTGGCTTCACAAGAATGGAGCTTGTTTGACTTCGTTGATGGCTGTATGGGGCTCAATATTGGTGGAAAGTTAATTTATTTCAAGCTCTGCATTATAACAGTGTTTACGACACAATGTGGGGATTTAATGCACTTTCTTCCAAAGAAGAAAGTTGTTTTCTCTAATCATGTGAGGGAACGTTGAGGAGAACAATTAGATCTAAATCACAGTCTGACAGCCTCTGTGGTCCAGGGGTGCTGGATCCTTTGAGACCTTGAGCAAAAGAAGTGTGCCAGAATTTCCAGCACTGATTGCTTAAAATTAAGCAGCTGAATATGTAGTTATCCATGGGATGGGAAAAAAAGCCTGAGAGTTGGGAATTTAGGCTGAGCTGGCAACCACTGACCACTCCTCCCATCTGTCTCTCACCACAGTTTAGTCTTGTGTGGTCTTTTTATCTGAGTTTGTGTTTTCAAAGGTGTTTTCTCTGTAAAGAGGAGCCTTTGTGCTCTCATCTCCACTGCAGGAGGAGGCCCACATGTAACATACAATACTCTATATTTTCTCTTTGTATTTCTGCTTTTTATTCTCCTGTATTTTTATAACTGTCCATGTATTTTTTCACCTTTATTTTCATACAGATTTTTCACTAATTTTTCTTGATTCCTATCCAATCTTTATTTTGCTGTATTTTGGAGGTAGAACAGGAACTTAGCAAGCCTAAACTACATGTACAGGCAAACCCAGCCCATTTCTTTCTGTCATGGTGCTGTATTTTTCTAGGGTTCATCTGTATGTACTCCAGACAATTACCAATTCTGGTTTTCCTTTCTTTTTTCTTTTTTTCCCCAGCTGAATTTCTAAATGTGACCCCAAACCTCGAAGTATTAGATCTCTCTATCAACAAACACATCGGCTGCAGCGTGAAGGTTATGGCTCAGGATCTGAAAAACGTGCCAGGCTTGAAAGAGTTAAACTTGCACATGTGTGGATTAAAGCAAGACAGCCTCCAGGGCTTAGGTTAGACTTTATGTTCAGAAAGACTTCCATTCTGAATAAACTGTACATCTGAAAGCCATTTAGGAAAGGCAATGAGGTGGGATTTTGCTGATGTTTTGGCAGCATTAATGGGCAGTCGTTATTTGCTGTTTGAGGATTGATAAAAGACTACAGAGGCTTTCAGCAGGAGTCACATTTATCTGCCCTGAGCTCAAGCATGTGAAAGTCAAGGGGGAGAGTCACCCTCCACACCATTTATCTGAGACACATCTCAGGCTTGATTAGTGGCTCTCTGGACATGCTTCCTCTTTCCCCAAACAGAACATAGACAAGGACACAGACAGGCCAGCTCACTTTTAACAAGATAATCCTACTCTCCCAGGGAAATCCAAATTCACCATTATCACTTAGAGAGTGCCCAGTGAAGCCGTATGAAATGGGCTTGTTATCTGTGTCTCTCCCTAGTGGATGTCTCATGGATAAGGCAAAACAACTGGCATTAATTAGCACATCCATCAGCAGTTCCTGCAAAAGGCTGAGGATTGAATGGATCTGGGGGATGAGCTGGCCTCACCTTCACCTGCTCCTTCAGAGAGGAATGGAGCTGCATGGATGGGGAAGCTTTGCTGTATTACTGTATGTCTGCTGTGATTACACTCTGAAGCTTAGTCTAAGAGCTTTGCCTGCAATACCTTGTGCAAACTTTGACGCTGAAGTAAATAAATGCCCAAGCTCTGACCTGGGCTGTCGCAGCGGCCGGTGACCAGCTTGCCCCCTCTCCCGTTTCAGACACTGCTTTGCAGCACCTCACAGAGCTGAGGAAATTAGACATATCGTGTAACAGAGAGATTGGTGGTGGCTTTAAAGACTCAACAGCTCATCTGGCCAGCTTGAAAAATCTGGAAGTCCTTGATCTTCACCAGTGCTGTGTCACAGAAGAGGACATGACCGTTTTGTGTAAGGACATGTTGAGGAAATTCATTAAGAATCCAGGTTTTGACTTCTGAAAATATCTCAAAGACGTAAGGAATTCTGCCTGGCAGAATAGCTGATCTCAGTACTTTTTTCATTAGGCAATTCTGGAAGTGCAGTGTAGGGAAATAGCTTTCTTGATCAATATGGAGTGGTATCTATGCTGAACCAAAGGAAATCTCAGAGTGTCTGATCTCACGTGGAATTAAGGACCTGAATCCACCATAATTCAGACCCACAATGGGAATGTGGGAACTGCCTCTAAGCACTGCTTTTTTTGATAATCAGTAATTTTGGAAATACCCAGGGACAGTTCCTCCACTTCTATGAATTAGATAGATCCAAGGTGTGTATGTGCATGGAAATGTAGCTGCCTAAAACTCTCCTAGTGAAGTGCACACCGAGTAGAGAGTGATTTTAGGAGTTCTGGCATTGCTGCTGCTGTGGCTTTCTCCAGGTTGAATTGATCCAACTGTAAGTGCTATTGGGAAGAAAAAGGGATTTCCCAATCAATTTGTAAAACAGTTTATTTTTCTGTTTGCATTATCATAACTTTTTGACATTTGTTTTAACCCTTAACAACAACAAAATGCCATGACTCAAAGTCTATATTGCCCACATCTTCTTTTCCACAATAAAGAAGATTATTTGAAAAGTTGCCTATTAAGCACTGGGAAATATTCATTATTAGTAATAGCAATCGTGATTTATTTTTAATTTATTGAATAATAGAGAATAATAATATTAAGATGAAGTTTCAATTAGCAATGAAGACATTTGGAAATAACCCCCATCTCATTTAATGTTTAATTAATGTTTCTTCACCTAGAAAATTTCCTGGAAGCCACGTTCTGACAACCTTCCAAACAGTATGGAATACCTAATTTCTTGAACATTCTTACTGAAAATGACAAGGCTGTTTATGGACTAAAACATTACTCACCACGAATTTGAGTGTAAAACCTTGGCCTTGACTTTTGGATTGACTTACAAAGAAAAGAAATTATACCAGGCAAATATACAACTACACATTTGTTGTGGATAGGTGACTGTCTAATAAATATTTGATGTTTTCATAGCCCAGGTGATACCTTTACTCTCCAGTCTTCAAGAGCTGAATTTATCCTCGAATAAAAGCGTAGGAGTCTCATCCGATCCTCTTCTGGGCCGGCTCAGGTTTTTGCCAAAGCTGAAATCTGTGGCCATCAGCAACTGTGGTTTAGGTGAAGAGTCGCTTTCATCACTAGGTAGGAATGTTCTTTAAAGTGTGTCTATTCTCTGGGTATCCCTGTGGGACAAAGCACTTCATTCTCCTTTGGCTGAACTCCAAGGATCATGGTTACATTGTACCACAGGTCCGGAGGGAAAAAGCCTGTGGTCAAACCAGTTCCCCCTCTATATCTGACTGGCTGAAGCCCTTTTAGCCCTTTGTCTGATAGTGAGCTTTTATATATTGCCTAATTTAGGAGGATAAAGGAACACATGATTTTATGTTATGCTGTAATTATAGTTGGGATGTAACACTTCGTTTGCAGTTTAGGGGGGTAAAGTTTTGACTGAGGGTTTTCCACCTCACTGAAGGTGAAAGCTTCAGTAGAAACTTTCTGGGGTAGAGTGAAGCCTGGGGCAAAAGAGGAAATTACTGCAGGAGTGGAAAAGATATTGCACAGCCATAAAGAAAAGTCCAGTCTAACATAGGATATGTAAATTCAGCCTCTTTTGCCTACTTATTGCAAATCTCAGTGGATTAGTGGCTACACTGTGCCTGTGATAGGTGTTCCATATGGCACATGAAATCTAAATACAGAGGGATCTCTCAGTTACTGTGTATGGTTCACTTATATTTTGTACTGTTTACTACTGACATTAAACCTGTAGTAAGGCTTGACTGCCTCCAGCAGAAGCAGAGGGAATCAAAACTGGTCTAAGGTCCCTGCAGGAAGAGTACTATATTTATATCATTACAATTATATAAGAGTGACACCATAGAAATCAGTGTTGTCAGAAGATACAGAGCATTTCACCTTAAATAGTGAGTTCGCAGAAAAAAAAAAATACTGTCTGAATTAATATAAAATGATGTAAAAGCAAGCTGTTAAATTATATTAATTCAGTGGGACAAGGACAAGCCAATAACATGAATAGAAACATAATAAACCCCTCCACAGATTCATTGTAGAATCTATAGGCAGGCCTTTCTTATTTTCTTTTGTCTGACTTTTATTAGGATAAAAGAAGTCACCCTAAGCACAGCCTGTTGGGATCCTATTTACAGGTGAATTGCAGGTGAGGTGTCTATTGAGGCCGTGTTGTTTTCTCTTAGTAAGCAGAAGTTGCTGGTCTTAATCTTTTCAGCTGAGGCTGCCCTTCACCTTCCTGAACTGGAGATATTAGACCTTTCTTGGAATAAGTGCGTTGGTGGGAACCTAAAGCTGCTTTTGGGAGCACTAAAGCTTGCAGCGGAGATTCAAGTGTTAAGACTGAGCAGCTGTAACTTGGTGGCTGAAGATTTGGCACTTCTAAGTACGTATAACACGGTATTTACCTGCAGTCCAGGCATTTAGACCACAATTCAGGAGGGGCTTGTTCCTTGGGCTGAGCACGTTTTCGCATAAATCAAAGGAAAAGATGGAAAACACAGCAGTATTTTCCCAGAAAGGGTTGTCATCTTGTATGTCCTGTACATGTTCAGTGCAAAAGCTGGAAAGGATAAAATACAAAGAATATTTTAGCACTTTTATCTATTAATAAAAAACCACCACCAAACACAGAAAATGTAGGATTTAAATCTCTTTTTTTATCTCAGATATTTAAAGATACCTCTGGGGACATTTTATTTTGCTCAATTTCTGTTTTAGGGTTCACTACTTTATAGAAAATGTATGTGCTGACAGCCAGTAATACAAGCACTACCAGCTCTCAATCCATTAGGTGTGTTCTGGAGTCAGACTACTGGGGGAGAATTAAAACAGAAATATTTTCACCCACCTCTTAGCAGCTGCTGGGAAACACAGGAAAATGGGAACATGATAAAGGAATGAATTCTAGGATTCTTTTAAAAACTTGTTCATTTTATACTCATCTTTGTGTTCTGTGGCCCTGACTCAGGGGTTTGGCAGTAGCTGTGTGACAGCTATTAAGGCCCTGGAATGTGAAATCTGGTGAGATGAAGCCGGAATATTTTTGACTTTAAAACCCATCACCCTTGATGGGTGTCTCCTTTAGCAATCACACGTTAAGGACCCCAGTTCCCTTTAGGGTATATTAGGCCCTCCCACAGTGAGAGGTTGCTGTTGCAGCAATCCAACCTCATCTAGTTTTGCTTTCCTCTTCCTAAATCTCCCTGTAAAACCTGTCTGCCTATTTTAATTGGCACTTGGTATAACCTCCCTCCAACTGACTCCAGGGTTTTCAGGGTGCCATACCCTTTTAACTCAATAGTTCCGTTCCTTTGGAATTACCCATGTTTAAAGTGCTGTATGCTCCTTCAGCTGTGAAAAAACAATCTTTCTGAGATCAGCAGCAAGTCATTTTATGTTGCTGAGGAGCTCAATCTTGTTGTTTGACTGCTGAAAAGCCTTAAATAATAAGGTATTAAAATACTACTCTCCTTTCTGAGGAGCTTTTAAAGCAATTGCCAGGATTTATTAGTTGTGTTTCTGTCTGTCATCTCTTGCAGCATCACTGACACAGGATGGCCATCTCTCCAGATTGCAGAAGCTGGATTTGAGTTACAATGACAGCATCTCTGATGAAGGATGGGCTGCTTTCTGTCAAGGTTTAGCAGTATCCAAGGAACTCTCGGAGCTGGATCTCAGCCTCCGCCCGTCGTCCTGCCGGGACTGCGGGACGTGGTTCAGTGAGTTGTTGGCAGCACTGGCACAGCTCCCTGCCCTGGCAGAGCTGGGCATGCAGAGATGGGTCCTTTCAGAACCCCAGAGGAAACAACTGGAAAACTTTAATCACGACAACAAAAGAAACATTCGCTTTGACTGTTGATGGAGGCGGAAGGTTTCTGGGAGGCCTTTCACGAGCAGCACATGGACCAAGTATTATGTGTCTCTCACTTAGGAGACTACACACTTTTTAATAATCTCTTGAAATAGTTTCACAGTTATAAAAAACTGTTATTTAACCCTCTGCATCATAGATCATTCTATTTAATAACCTATTCTTTGAGATTCTCTGGGCCATGCTTACGCCGCTATGGACACTTAATCTTCATGGTGTGGTGAGTAGTGCCCAAAGAGCAGTGCTGGACTCAGATGGACACACTGCAGGTTTGCCAGGGAAGTGGAGGGGATGTGTGTTAATGCAGGTGGGTGGGCAGCATGAATGTGGCCTCAGAAAATGCCTCTAATGTGAAAATACTTGAAACCTCTGTGTTTTAAATTTTAGTTTCTTCTCCCCCAAAACTTTTGCCTCTTCGTGAATAAATTAAATCTACATAATTGGGAGATTTGGAAACCATCCCAACAACTAAACATTATATATTAGTCCAGTAAGGAGAATACAGGAGGAGCTGTTTTGCCTCTGCTCTGGTCCTCGATGTCATCTTATAGTGTAGATGAGTCCTGTGTACAGAATCAACATAAAATCAAGGTAAGAAACAGTTGTTCAGTGTCTTTGCAGGTCTCAGGGGCAAGGGAAATGCTGTGGTACACTAAATCAGAGATATGTCCTGCCACCTTAGCAGGATTTTGGACACAGATCAATCCATAATCATTCTGGCTAAGACTATGTAAAAATTTCAGGATACTTGAGGGATGTTCCTTCTCATCTTGAGCTGTTTCAGGCTTACCCAGACTAAGCTTTTGGAACAGACCATTTTATGACATGCAGCACAAAACCAAAATTCCATGTCTAAGAGACTGATCTAGAGCATATGAAAGCCAGTGGGAGCCCCTGCAGTGTCTTCGTGCTTCCTGCATTCAGGATTCATCCATCAACCTTCACACCACCTTGTGACATAATGTTCTTATCCTTACCCTAGAGATGAAGGAAATAAGCAAAGTCTATTATTCCAAGCCATAGGGCAGCTCCCAGGGAGAACCCAACACCCTACTCAATGCCCAAGACTTGTTAGAAAAAGCACTAACTTGGGATGTGTAACCAGCTCCTTTTTAATGTGATAATTACTTTTTTTTTTTTACATTTTATTGCATTTTCTTACACAGAGCCAAATTCTGGCAGTCATTCGTGTCATGGAGCATGTTAACCCACACGTGAGCTCCAAGACTGCAGTGGGATTATTCATCGGTAAGGTATTTTAGGAAGTAAAGATATTAGATCTGCCCACTGAGTGAGGAGTCTTAGAGAAATCCTGAGGCAGCTTGAGGGATAAAGTTCTGCTCAATTAGCTCTGAGTATCTCTACATGCTGCAGCAACCTCCTGGAGGAGAGGCACAACAGGATCAGTCAGTAGCACTTTCCTAACTTGCTAAGGCCTCTCTCACCAGATTCTGTCCTGCAGATGCTGATCAGTATTCACCTTTCAGTCCACGTGATCCTTCCAACATCAGCTTCTGGCTGGTCAGGGCTATCACCAGCAGCTGACAATGCTGTGCTGATGCCTATTGATCATTTAATCCATGACTTCATGTGAAAGTCTCCCTGGATCCAGTTCCACTTGAAAAGTGCACTTGGCTTCCCCAGCTCTGAGAAATGTGAGTTGAACTGGAGTGTCTTGGTCAGAGGCAGCAGGGAATTGCTGCAGTGTGGGATCAGTTACTTCCTACACAGACCCTCAGCCTCTGAAATGAACCAAAGAGCCCCTGTTTCTCACAGGACTGATGAGAGATTTTCAAGCAGTGGCTTAAGACAGGACATATGGAAGTACCATCATCTCTGTTTAACAGCAGCACACCAACCATTTCTCTTAATTACTTGCCTTCCTGTGACTTTCCTCCCCAAATATGCCTTTGGTTCAACTGGGAAATTGATCCTTTATCTGTTCTGTGAGGATGTCTCTTAATCATTCCTTTCCCACTTAAACCTCTCTCTCCAATTAATCTTTAACATCCAGATTCTGTTGAAATCTTCCTGGACTTCAGTGTTGGGGTTTCTTACTCTGCCATAGCTGGGTTCTCAGCTCCAGAGCACATTATGGACCCACTGCAGCAAACTCTCCCCTTGCTGTTCCTGATCCCCTGCTCAGTCCTTTGCCCTCTCATGATTCTGTCATACCTATTGTGCCACTAAAAAGCTTTTATTCCTTTTATCACCTCTATTAAATGTCCTATCTATCTGCCAGTCTTCCCAAAATTCCCTCTTCCAGTGATTTTCTCTAAATTATCCATCTCTCTGTTCCTCTTTGCCTTCACTTAGGGTGAAAAAATTTCACCAGACATCTCCAAACAATCAAAGCAGCCTCAATCAAAGCAGTGAAATGGAAAATCAGAACAGAGCCGTCCCACTTTCCTGCAGTCCCAGCTCTCTCCTGCCAACAAGCATATTAATGAGATTTCAGTATCAATCAAGAGCCAAACAGAAATTAGTTCCATACCCTGGATGCAGATTCAGAGAGATGCAACTCTAGGAAGAGCTGGTCTCAGTAACCTGCCTTCACCACCTCCTTCAGGATGCACAACCTTCCCTCAGGCAACTCAGACAAGGGGAGGGAGAGCAGTTCTGACCAGCTAGTTAAACCAAATAAAGGGTTCTGCTCCCACCCACTCTGCATTTTGAACCTGCACAGTGGCAGGTCCCACACAGCTCTGTGCTCTGTATATGCTGCAAATAAAACTCTGGAGGGGGTTAAGGAGTAACTGAGTAACACAGAATAAAAACTAGACAAGGACATCAGATGTCTGGGACAAACAGCTCTCTGTAAAGTGCTGTGGAAAGATGTGGTTGCAGATAAATTTGGCATGCAAGAATTACAGTGAGGAGTGTTTGTCATGGTTCTTTTGAATAACAAAGATGTTATGATGTGCCAGAACCAAAATCAGGGCAGAATATGGTATCCTGCAGACTCACTGCTTTCATATAAATCTGTCACACAGGCATTTCACAAACTGTCACCGAGCCATCTTGGGGAAGAGATGCACCACTGAGGATGTGACAGCTTGCAGTCATTCAAAATGCTGTAACTGTAGATTGTCAAAACAGCAGTGAACAGTTTTGCAAAAGTGTGGAGATACTTTCAAAACAGCTTTTTACACCTCTGTAAGGCAGGATGGTAATGCAGGTTCTGGTAGAAGTGTGTGTGTTCTGACTGCCTGGAATCGTACTCTGTATTTCCAAACAAGGAACTGATCATTTCTAGAGAAAAACTCATTAAACAACTGCTGGTAGGTGGGGCCACAGATATTGTTTCACTGTAAACATGTTTGTACCTCACTGACTGGCAAACAGATTTCTAAGAATTGCAAGTGAAATACTTTGAGATTCAGAACAAATAACACTTCATTGCACCAGATTCCTACAGGTTAGATTGATTTCCAGATTAGATTAATTTCCACCTAATCATCTGCCTTTATGATTATAGATAATACGCATTCATAATGAGACATCTCAAGAACATTTCTGAGATTGCCTGGTTCAGCTGGGGTCAATGTGGACAAAAACACAAAATCAAACCTAAAAAAATTAATTTGTTTCATTGTCACACTCACTGATTCAGATGCTTTAATAGTGCTTATCTCTGCTCACATTTGTCCATCTTGTGAAAGAAAAGAGTTCTGTGCAGTTTACTGCCCAATTTTCACTTTTTTAACGGGCTTCTCTTTTTCCTTTCTTTCTTTTCCTTCTTTCTCTCTCTCTCTTTATTAATTTTTTTTTATTAAATTATTAAGCATCAAGAAAGTTTCAATCCCTTTCTGGTTCATCAACCCACACCACAAACTTTGGATCTGAAAAAGAGAGAACAGTCTTGTTACCTGGAGGAAAAGGGTAAAAGCAAAAAACCTTGTGGAATGGTGTCACTGATGTATATTCATGGTACAAAAAGCATTTTATTCTTCAAAATCCCCTTTTATTCTGGATTAGACTACATTATTGGCAGCTAAGATGAACTGTCAGTCATCTGATTTTTCTCTTATTCTCTGTTTTATGTTTTTCAAGAGGAATTTCTTACCTAGGCGGACACTAGTCCCCCATACCTTTGATTAGAAAAGTAAATGACAATGTCTACACATCTTTAAATGTCAATTTTTAGTTTGGAAGAATAGTTTGGGAAAAATAGCAGCTCACAAAGAAATTACAGAATTACAGAAAGAGAGGAATAATTTAGGTTTAAAAGAATCAAAGACTGAGGAATCACCTTTCCTTCCTTATTGCCCTGTATTTTTTTTAATTCCATGTGACCCATTGATGATACAGAGCAATGTTCTTTTGGAAAAAAACCCAACAAACCAAACATAAAATCACACAAAGAAAAGTGTCTTGTTCAATGGATCTGCAAGTATCAATGAGCTGATGGCTGTGGGCAGGTACTGCAGACAATTATTCTCCATATGCAGTTCCTTCAGATTCTGGAAAATACGTGTGCAGAAGGTTTAGTAAGTAAAGGATTTTTCCTTAGCTTGGTATATAAACAATGTACAGAGAATATTAGCAAGTGCAGAAGTTTATAAACTGTGAAATTGTTGGGATTATTGCTAAACACAGAGAGGCAACATGAGTTTTAAACACTGATTTCTGATATTATTCCTATTCTGACAGCCCAGGCCTGGTGCTGCACCATGTACCTAAAGAGATTAAGAGACCCTTCAGTCCTGCATTTGGAAGCAGCTGAAGTTCATGGAATTTCCATGTTGCAGCAAACCAAGATCTTCCCCCTTCTCTTGCTCCTGCCTGCAATTTATTGATGACTTCTGGCAGAGTTCTGAATTTAATTCCTTTATCTTATCCCAGTTATAATCTCTGTAATGACTCCAGGAGAAAGACTTCCTCTGGAAAGATACTGAATTGGTTTCCAGGCAGGCTAAGGCATTTAAAACTTATCAGTTCCTTCACCTCCAGAGGTATCTAGACACAGTCATTAAAAAGATACATTATGTCAATTAAGCAGTAATCTTTGGGATTTTGTTTTTAGAGGAAAAAAATCTCCCAAGAAAATGCTGTGGAGCTGCATTACGGTTGATGGATGAACACAGAATATTCTGCTCATTAATGTCACATTATACCTCACAGTATGGTGGAAATTTTGGCAAAGAAATCCATGTTGTTTCCTCTGCTGGAAAGATTTCTTATGGGGTTAATTTTATTTCTTAGCAGAAACATTAGTCTGCTTCTTCATTTCCTTTGTGTGCACAGTGCAGGGGAGAGCAATTTAAATGAATGAAATCTGAAAGTGAGTCTTTTGCATAAATTACTACTTTGGTGAATGTAACTTTCAAGAAGAAAATTGCACCAGTGAAAAAATCCTTCTTAAAGAAGTGTTGCATTGTATAAAAAGGAAGGTGTATTCTGAGCCCTACAATGGGGATGTCCATGAATACTGATACACTTATCATAGCACAGCTTTAGGGTGCATAATTGTTCATGATCAAACGAATAGCAAGTGTCAGTGGAGTTAAAGGCATTAATAATATCACATCCATTTTTAAATTGTCCTCTGTTCAGTTTGCGATATTGATTCTATGCAAATGCAGCTCTGATTTTCTAGTGCACACAGAAAAAAAAAAAAAAAGATGCAAAAAGCTGCAGCAGTTCCTCCAGTCAGTGTTTCATCTTTTGATTCAACACAAAGGTCAGTGTTTCCACATTTTTGCCTTTTCCTCCCTGCCTGAGAGCTGAGATGTCAGTGATAATGAGTAACCCAGGCTCAGGTGTGTGCTGGGTGGAACTGCCTTCTCACTGTAGCAAGGAAAGGAGGCACTTGGAATGCTATTAAAGCAGTTTTCACTCAGATCTAGTATCCTGACACTGGTTAATCTGGTGAAGGACCCAGGTACAGTGCGTAGTCCCACAAAAACATGGGAAAGGGAAGGCCAGCAGCAGATGCGGTGTGAAAAATCCTCCAGGCTGCTCAGACAGTGAGCTCTCTCATTTCAGGGATGTTCCTCAAACCTGGGAGAAGCTTTTGGGGGAAGCTGGGCTCCATTTCCCCTACACGGGTCTGCCTCGGGTGGGTGGAGCCCACGCCCTCCTGCTCACATGGGCAGCAGTGGAGGCACGGGGGGAATTTATTTGCTGGAAGGGGCCAGCACAAGCATCTTTGAAGTAGGGACCGATCCGTGTAGCCACGAGCGGTTCTGCAAAGGCTCCTCGGAGGAGGGCAGAGCACCAACTCCATGCTCTGGGGGTGAGGTGACGAACCTCCCCTGCCCTTCCCGCAGGTCTGAGCACCACTGGCATAGCCCAGCACCCACAGGGGCTCGGGGGGCTCCTGCAGGGCCCGGGGCTGCACAGAGCAACCCCCGCCCGCCCCTCCGGCTGCGGGCCGGGACCTCCTTGGAAACGGGCTCCGTTACCAAACATTGTTCCCCTCGGAGCAGCCTAGTTACCAAATTTACTCAGCGCGGGGCAGCGCTCGCCCTTGGCCGGTCCCCGCAGGTTGATGCGGGGAGAAGGAGCAGGAGGTCATGGCTCAGGTAAGGCCTGCAGGGCTGGGGGTTCATCTGCTGTACAGGGACCACTCCTCTGTTAGCTCAGCTCCTGTGCCACAGCAGGTCAGAAACACCCACCAATCCACGCTTTCCCCTCATGCTTTTCCTGCCTGTATCTGTTGCCCCAGTGCTGCATACCGAGAGTTGTAACCCTTTGCAGACCGAGCCCATTTTTACTGTTATGCAGATCCCGGCACAAAGCCCGCTGCTGGTGCTGTTGCTAAGCTGCCGTAACGATGCAGTAACGCTTTGTTTTGTTTTCCGGCAGTACACGTCGGTTCGCCCAGATCTTCACCTGCACTATGTGCAGGCCTGTCAAAAATCGAGCCAGCCTGAAAACCCCTTCGTTGCTCATGTGCTTCAAGAAGCTGACAAAAATGATGAAATGTAAGGCAATAACAGCGTGTTTCAGGCACTTCTGAAAGCCTTAAACAGGGTAGCAGGATCAGGAATTGAACGATGAGAAAGTTCTGCAGTTTCAGGCTTAAACACAAATCAAATTTAGCATTTACTGCTGAAGTTCTGGTTTGACTCATCTTGACATCATCTTGGCAGACGTTTGTAACTATATATCCTTTCTGGGCAGCTTTACAAGCAGTGAAAGGAAAAAAAAGGTAAAAAAATGTACAGGATGGTGCCTTTCTGTCCCTTAAAAAAGCCAAACCCAGTGTCCAGTCATCCTAACTCCCTTCCTTTTGTCTTGCTCCTGTTTAAAAAGCCTCAGCTGCATCCAGTTAGCTTCCAGCTGGTCATGCTTCCCTGAGCTGTCTCTGAATCCTGCCAAGCTATTAACCACCCAAATTCTCTCTCATTATGTGGCTAGGTAGGGCTTTCTCTTGTGGATGCTGCTGGGGTCAAAGTTAATTTTCCTTTGGGGAAAAAAAACCAGAAAATAAAACGGTTTGTGTTAGGTTTTGATCCTGAGAGCAGGATGGAGTAAATAAAGCAAAGGGAACAATTAAAAAGAAGATGATGAGGTAACCTCTGGAATGATCTTTATTTCCATCTGCCTTCCCCTCATCTTGCTTATTCCTGCTTCCTGTGCAAGTGTGGTTCTTGCAGCTGTGCAGTGCCTTCAGAAAGGGCAGTGCTGAGGGACAGCTTGAATCACGTTATCTGTGCTGGTGTTACCAAAGGTGTATAACCATGTGCAAGCTCCTCAGTGAGGGCAAGCACGGCCACACCTGCTGTCTGGAGAGGCAACTCATTTCTCTGTGTCATTTTCCTTCTCCTCGTGCGCTTACGTTTTTATGTTGCAGTAGATGTACGAAAGGGATCACATTAAAAATAGCTGGAAATAATCACCCAGTGCCTGTGCAGAGAGTTACAGATGATGATCTTGGAGTTCTTGCCTCTGTCTTACGCCACGCTGCATTTGTCAAAGGTAGGGTTTTTCCATGAGTGTTTAACCTTGCTGTGCTAATATAAGAAAACATGATCAGTCTTGATTTCAGTCTTAGTTCATCTTTGTTTCTTTTTGTTTAGAGATCAGTTAAATGTAGGTATGCATCTGTCACATTCCTCATTCTTCATCTTTTTCAGGTTTGGATCTTGCTTATAATGTATTGACTGATGCTGGAGCAAAGACCGTGGCAACATTCCTCCAGGTGCCAAAGTGATGGTTATCTTTCAGCAACTTGTAATTTATTTGGCCATGGAAATATTTATATGTGGTGTATTGGAGACAAGAATGCACTGGTTTGGCAAAATTCCATTGGTTTTGACTTTCACACCCCAATCCATCCTACTAGAATCTTGGGTTGTATTCTCTGTGGAGATTTTTAATTTCTGGTAGAAAGCCATTGGATATTTGGCTAGGGTGTCCCAAGGAAAGAATGGTGGAATAAGCTACAAGGCTTTTAGGCTTACAGTTCAAATCAACAGAGGGGATAATGGTTGTGTCAAGGGCCTTTGTTTTAGCTTCTTTATCACCTGTATTAGCCTTTTTGCAGGCCTAAACATAGGAAACTTTAATGCTGCCTTTTTATCATTGTAAACAACTGGAATACAGATGGAAAATGGTAAGCTGTCGCCCGGTGCCTGTGTTCCTAGAGCTTGAGGGGTGCCATTAAATTCACAAAATGCACCTGAGCTTGACCATGTGCCTCGTTGGGTCATGCTGAGCACGTGGGATCCTGGGTGGTTCCTGTAGGCCCCATGAGGACCCCCACATACCTTTCCCTCATTGTCTGACATGCTCTGGCATTCTTTAACTACTTTTCCAGGTCAGGGGCTGCCTGAAATGCAGCAAAGGACAGAGTTTTGTATGTGTATCCCCTTTCTGAAAAATACAGGTGTGGTCTGGAATAAACTCTCATTGTTTCCTGCTCTGTTTGTTCCTAAGGAGAACTCCTCTCTGCAGTACCTGAACCTCATGTTTAATGACGTTGGCACAAGTGGGGCAGAGCTGATAGCGGGAGCACTTCATGTGAGTGTTTGTCTGGGAGGTTTAGACAGTGGCATCTTGTTGGATATTTTTGCTTTTGATGACCAGTACTGGCTGTCCTGCCAACATCAGAGCTGGCTCAAAGGGGCATCTGTCCTTGCTCCATTCAGCATGTTGCTGTATCACAGGGATACAGCACAAGGTCTGCCTTGTTTTCCCAAGGCAGACCTCAGAAATCAGATTTCACACAGGTGAAAGTTGCACTGTGCTGCCATTAACACTTAATTATCTATAAAAACAATTGTCTATAAACCCCACAACTACTGCAGTTCGATTTTTTTCTGTGTGAAAAATGCTATGCTACAGGATATAGAATGCCATCTGTTTTTTCCCTTTCTTTTTTTCCCCCAAAAACATTGTATTAAATTTGCCTGTACCTTCATGTCAATATTTGTCTTGATTCAAGATGTCTGAGACATGTTTTCAAAACTTTGCTTGACAGCAGCAGCACAAAACCAAAGTTGTTATTTTTGATGTGGTTTCCCAAGGAAATGAGGCTTGTGTGTAAGATTTGTTGTTTTGTGAAGGAGACTCACGTGAGCTCTTTCTTCCTTCTCCACAGTCTTTGAACCCTTGAACTGATTTCAACTAAATTTGACAAACCTCCAAAACACTGAGGCTGTGCAGGAGATTTGTACAACACTGGGCTTGTACAATGCTTAACAGGTTTAAATTAGTTTGATGCACTTTGCATCTCAGATGCCAATTTAGGCAGAAATATTTGCCTGGATTGTTTTCATGTGAAATTTGTGGACTTGGGAGAAACAAAAGTTTTCAAATACTGGAATTTTGCTTGCACTCTCATGTCTTTGATGTCCTCGGGAGGAGCCTGAGGCAACAGGATAAGTTATCACTTACTTATCTACGTTGTCACTTTGACACAATTCTTCTCAAAGTTTGTTTTGTCTCTGTGTGACAACAAGCAGGATTCACACACAAAAAAGGATAGTGTTGTTTTTCAGGCCATTTTAAAGGAATAGATTTTTTTCTTTTTATTTTTATGTAGAGGAATAGAAGTCTTGTGCACATGAGAATGACTGGAAACAAAATAGGAAACCAAGGTGGGATGTTCTTTGCTTCAATGCTGCAAAGTAACTCAACCTTGCAGAAATTGGATCTTGGAGACTGTGATCTGGTGAGTAACCCAGTAAAATTATCAGCAATGACATAAGTCTTTCAAGGGTATTACAAGGGTCCTGTAGAGCTTAATTAGGGGGGAATGCCATCTGTTGTCATTGATTTTTACATTTTGTGACAGCCAGAGGTGACACAATATATAATACAGCAATGTGTGCTTGGAAAGGCACGTTGCACAAAGCACCTGGGAAGTCAGAACTGATGATATTTTAGAGCCATTGTGTCCCTGGGGATATAAGTGCTTGTCTTTCACATCCTCTGAGGTTTGTTTCTGCTGCTCATTTCTGTTATTCCAATCCTGTGTAATTCATGTTGAAGAATGGACTTTTTGTTCCCTGGAGAATCTCTTCCTTCTGAAGTGTGCAGTGCTATAGCACCTGAAAGTCACCCATCCCATAGCTCTGTTGCTCCTCTCAGATCCATAAAGGACATAAGCACAGCAGTGCTAAATTGAGTAGAAAAGCACCAAATTTGATCTTGGATGACCTGCTTCCTCCTGGAGTCAGGCACTGAGACTTCTAACACAGTGCACAGGGAGACTCAGGAGGGTTGGAATGGCCTGTGGATCACTTTTAAAAACCTGTAATTTTTTTTCCTGGAAATTCAGAATTTGCTCCTAGACTAGAGGGGGGAATAACCCCTCAGGAATTGTGAAGGTCTTATGAATACATGAACAAGAAAAGTGTAGCCAGTGTAGGATTTATTCAAAAGCTTAGTATGTGTGTTCTTGGTAGGGAGTTGATTGAGAGTTGGTTTAAAATTAAGTGGCTTTGGGTGTGGACCAGCCTAATTGGAAAGTAGCATAAGTAAAAATTAGTGAGCAAACCAGAAGGAAATAAAAAAAATCCGAATTGACCCATATTCTAGAGTCTCGTTTCTCTGTACCACATGATTGATACTAAATTTGAATTTACCTAGTGGATGAATGTTAGGGGAACACACATAAGCTGATCTTGTTTTATAAATCAGGAAAACCAAAATACAGGATCAATTAAATGCACAAATTAAATGGATCTTTGAAATCTGTTATTCTTGCTTTTTATTTTCTGAGTTGCCAAGTCATTTGTACTATTTAGTCTCATTCCACTCTACTCTTCCATAGGCAGTTGGCATTGGTATTGTCAGAAAATCTGTTAGGTGTCTCTAAGCAGTTGACTATTGTATTCCAGAGGACAGGGAGGCAGAAATAATAGTCATGGTAATTTGGCAGCTTGAGCTATACATTAAATAGGTTTCTCCAAAGAGTTTACTTGTTTTCATTTCCAGGGCCTGAAGTGTCTGATAGCAATAGCCACAGCCCTGACTCAGAACAAATCCCTCAGAGCAATAAACCTAAATCGTCCCTTGCTGTACAGCCAAGAGGTATGTGAGTGACTGTGGTGTCAGCTCAGAGAGGAGCATAAGCCAAGTCAGTGCTGATGTATTTATGGACATCTGAACTACACAGCTCTCTGGAATTTCTTGCAAACTGAAGCAAATGGTTGCAGAAATATTCTTTCTCTTTCTGTGCAGTCACCACCTGCCCCTGTTTAACTAGAAGGTTGAATTTTAAAAAAATCTCTTTCTTGGTACATTTGTTAAATAATGGGCTGATGGAGAGGGCTTGGTATTGGAGAACAAAGTATTCCTTCTGCTGTTCCAGCACGGAGTTTCCTGCTTTGCTCAGCAAACTGAGGGAGAAATGCTGTTTAGCAGGAAATGAGGGGAAGCACAAAGGGCTGCTGTTTACCTGAGTCTAAAGAAGAAAGACACGCTGCAGCAACCCCTCACCTTCCCTGGGCTGGGGGCTTTGGCTGTTTCACTCTGTGGCTGGTGCTGCTCAGCTGGTGGCTGTAGAGTGAGGGCTGTGGTGGATTCACCTGCCTGGCAGAAGTTCCCAGGTGTCAGTGATAGGAACAGTGTTCTCCTGATTGCACGAAGGCCAGATCGTCCTCAGTTCCCTAGGGTGAATTTAACAGTTTAAACAGATTTTAGTTGTTTCTTTTCTACTAAGACAGCTTTAGAAGTCAATTTAAACTACTGCTATTGAAAACAGAGGCCAGTAAGGACCTGGTCTGGATATGTCAGAGACTATTGCCACTGTTTCCACCTTCGACTCTATTATTTTCTAAGGCCTCTGGGTTGTTCCCTTATTTTTGACTCACAGTACTCACTGTTATTTTGTTAACTAAACATGCCAACTTGAGAACAAACTTTCTTTGTCTTACAGTGACAGGACATATTTTTTCCCACAGCAGTCCTGTTTCCTTTTCATAAAATCACAGGATCATTAATGTTGGAGAAAAACAGCAGGATCATTGAGTCCAAACTTTGACCAGTTTTTTCTCTTATGAAAGCGTAGATTAGCATCATGACAAAATACTTTCAATGTTAGCAAAGACTGACTCAAACATTCAGGTTTTTAAGAGCAATGACTGGAAGGAAAACTGATCAGACATAATGACTAAATGTTGGTGCTTCTGATATTTGCAGGGATGTAGATAGTACTCTAAATGTGCAAATATATTTCTAGTATTTTTCTTTTTTTTTTTTTCATCTTCAGCCTTATCACAAGATGTTGTTTCATGGCTATTTTTACACAATATACAAAATAGAACACTACTGTTGACCAAATCTTGATGTTAGTTATGTATCTCACTTGTACTGAAGCAAGGCCATGCCTTATCCTAAAGTTCAGCTTAGTAAAACTGTGTGTGTGTGTTTGTAGGAAGAGACCACAGTCCATATAGCTAAGATGTTGAAGGGCAACTCTTCTCTCGTGGAGCTGCACTTGAGCAAGCATGAAATGAAAAACTTTGGTGTAGAGCGACTGTGTGAGGCCCTGTATGAAAACTCCAGCCTGAGATACCTTGACCTCAGCTGGTAAGAGTCATTAAGTAACATATCCATGACTAACAGAAATTAATTTTCTTAGCACCTATTTTTTTTTAAATATGTGCATCTCTCTTTCAGTAATAAAATAACCTCCGATGGTGTAAAATTTTTGGGAGAGCTGCTAAAACGGAACCAAAGCCTGGTAATCCTGGATCTGAATGCAAACAGAATAGAAGATGCTGGAGCCACGTACCTGAGTGAAGCCTTGTCTGTGCACAACAGGACTCTGCAGGCGTTAGTATCTGCACAGCTTCCCCAGGGACTGCAGGTGTAGGGAACCTGGACTTGGCGGTGGCAGAACTGGCATCAAAGCTGTGTGCTTTGATGTTGATCAAAATAGGAAAGTCAGGAAGTTCCAAATGTTTTGGTCTATTTTTCCTTCTTGGGGAAAGAAACCTGCGAGTGAGAGATTGGGTGGGATTTCTTTGCTAAGCTGCCAGGTGAGATGCCCCAAGACCTGTGGGACATCCTGGGGTGCTGGGGGTGAGCCCCAGGTCTGCTCAGATCTCCCACAGCTTTTCCAGTTGCTCCAAGAGGTATGGGGGGGGGAAGGCAATTAGATCTGTCAGTTCTTTCTGCATCTTTAAAGAGCAGGTCCCTGTGGGGCACAAACGAAAACAAGAGCTGCAGGCCTTCAGAATTCTGAGATAATCAGATTCCACGCAGGGATAAGGCACTATATTTGTTGATTCTGATCTTCAACACTTAGGAAAATCCTCTATTTAAGTTTGCTTCCGGGTGAACCCAGCAGAGCTGTAATCTCTCCACCAGGGCTTCTTTTGCAGCCGCGTTAAACCCTCGCGGGCAGGATGTAAAAGCTGATCAAAGGTGTTACCTGGAGCCATTAGTTTTAAGTAGCAGACTGAGGAGGTGGCGGCTCTGAGGTGCCTCTGAAAGCCTTCCAGGTTCGCTAACATAAAAATAACTGCCACTCCACAAAGATCAAAGCTTAGCCTGGATAAATGCCAAGGCTTGGGCTTCAAAGCAGACTAGAGATGAGACCTGGCCACCATGGAGCAAGTCACTGACACCAGGGAACTCAAGAGTGAACAACCTTGGCTGCATGAGCCTGGAGAAATAGAGCAAGTCATAGTCCAACTGCCTCTGGCAACCTGAGAAGGATATTATAGTAGGACTGGCCTTGATACAATTAAAGAATTGTATTATTAATGGCAAATATAGAAGTTCAATATATATTATATAATAATAACATATAGAATAAGCATAAATCATAGTTAAACTCATATTCTTAACTAAGAGATATGAGTTCCATGGTCTGGCGTGCACACTGTGTAACTGTTTTCTCTGTTTGTCAGGTTGTCAGTAGTAAGCTGCAGTATAAGTGGCAAAGGTCTTACAGCTCTTTCAAATGCAATCAAAGCAAACATGATACTTTCCTATATATACATCTGGGGGAACACATTTGATGAAGATGCTTGTATGGTAAGTGTTTGTTTCTGAACTCCTCTGAGAGGGTTGGGGTTTGTTTGTTTGTTCCAATTTGTTTTTACTATCACTGGGTAGACTACAGCAATTAGTGAACAAGATACCTGATTTACTGTTTTTTTTTAAAAAATAATTATAACCTGGTGGTGCTGGATTGAGACAGTGGAGATCAGCATACTGAAGTGATTGAGTACTTACTGTGTGTTATGTTGTAGAGCCTTCACTGCAGTCAAAAAGAAATTTTATCTGTCATATTCCTGTTTTCATTTTTCAGTCATTTTCAGAGTTAATTCAGATGGGTCGCCTGAATCCCAACTGCACAGATGTGGCCCCGTACGAGGTGGACGGGCAAGCTCAGCTGGCAGAGCTGTCCCACGGCCTCCAGAGGGAATACTACTGGGCCCCAAGGCACAGGGTCGTGGCAGACAGTGCTGCCAATGCCAGCCTGGGACTTGTAGCTGTTTCAGAGTATCTGTGAGTGAGGCAGCACTCTACAGGCCTGGGCTTTGCCCGTCTGGTTTCTAGTAAAATAAATTATATCAGCGTCAGATTTGCTTCATGTTGTTTCTTCAGATTTAAGTCTAAAAGGAATCTAAAACTGCTTGAAATGGCAAAATGATAAAATATTGAACAAATGACCTTCAAATTCAGTGCTAAATAATGCCCAGTCTATGGAGAGTCTATTACTATGAAAAAGTTTACACCCAGGCAGAGCACACTGACAAAAGCTGACACCCAAGGCTGCCAGGCAGCAAATCAGACCTGCTGCAGAGCAGGATTCCTGCTGGAGCTGAGAGCTTTTGTTACCATTCTACTCCACATACTCTCTCCTTTTACTTAGTAATTGCATCCTTTGGATCTTCTTCCCATAGGGACATTTTTAAACCAAAGTAAGTGAACTTAAGCATTCAGCCACGATCATGGTGGATCTTCAAAGCTAGTGAATGGAGTTTACTGGGATCTACATGGAATTTTGATTAACTTGCAGCCTGTACTTGTTTCTTGCACTACAAATAGGAACCACAACCAACCCTGGTGCCATTATTTCTTCCTATCTCTTGAAAACTGTCTAAAAAATTTTCTGTCATTATAGCCCTGTGGCAACTCCTGCACATGAGTTGCATTTAATGGTAGTTAAACATTGTTTAAGGGTTTGAATGCAGACTTTGTAGAAGTTTGGGAATCACTCAGCTTGTTACCTTTTTCCATCCGCTATGCTCATCCCTGCAGAAGTGACTCCATTTATGCTCCTAAATAGAAAAAGTCACCAAACAGAGTCATGGATTATCCTGCTCTCCTATCTATGAGATCCAAGTATGAGGAGAAAAAGGTAAGGAAGTTATTTTACCAATAATAACTGAGAAGCAGCAACGCAACTTCTGCTGTTCTGACTCTGTATTATCACAGTGGGAGATGTACTGACACCCCTTCCCCAGCTGAAATGACCAGGGCAGTTGTGAGAGCTGGTGTGTGTGTGTGGAGGTTTTCTGCCATTTGATTGCTTTTTTTTCCTCATTGTCCCTTGCCTCCACCCCCAAACACAAATGAATCAGGCTCTGTTGCTCCAAAAAGCACCTGATATCACAAGAGGCCTTAGAGGTAAGCCCAGAGCAGGTATGTTTGTCCTACACACCTGCACAGGGCCCTCCTGACCTGCAGCCACTGTGTTGAGCACAAAGTCCACGTGACACACACTGTGAACACCCTGTTTTAGAGGGGAGCTTATATTTTAACTATTGTTAAACAGGAAGGACAGAGCAATGAGAACAAAAGTTGAGGATACACTGGACGTGGTTGTTTGAGAAGAATCTGCATGCTGTGAACATTTCTAAGTTTTTAAACAATTAGATAAGCCTGTATTGGTATTTTCCCAGTGTTGCTGCTCTGGGACATAGCAGGCTACACTCTGATAGTCTACAGAGAGGCCTCTCAGTACTGAGATACTGGTGACAGAATTTCTTGTCAGAAACACCACTAAAAGACTCAGATTAAGGTATTTTTTCCATATATCTTTCTTTCCTTTGTCTGGTATATGAAGTTCAGACTAATTTCAAATTAATCTTTAATTTACTTGTATGAATGACATTCATTAATCTGCCATGTTAATGGGGAACCAACTCTTCCAAGAGCAGTATTTTATTTTTAGTGATGTAGTTAAGATGGCAACAATATCATACAAAAAGTGTGTCAGGATAAATGGCATCTACTTTCAAAAGTGCTGGTGTATGTGTTTGAAATATTTGCACTCTGTCTGACCCCTTGTTTAACAGCAACATGCTCAGCCTAGAAGAGCACTCTGCATTATTGACAATACCCATAAAACCAGCTCATGTGTTACAGTTTACTTTTATATTCTCTTGTAAGTAAAGGCTGCAAAGTAATTCCTGAATTCTGTATAAACAGCTTCCTAAAAACTAAAATAATTATTTGTGCCTAACCCTGTAATGCTAAAAGAGGACTATGCCAGAGACTGCTATTGCTTTTCTTTCTCTGAAAACCAAACCTTGACATCTTGTAAGAATTTATCTTGTGTTCTTTGGAATGAGAGAATTTACACAGGATAGAATCTTTTGCCATGTTCTAAGTTATTTTAGTAGCTAAAGCAAGCATAGTCCTGCTCTGAAAACCATCCTTCCAGCTTTTAGAACTTGCTCTACTTTGCTGAAAGACAGAATCTTTGCCCCAGTTTCAAAGGGAAGGAAAATGACTGATCCAGCTGGGCAGTGGTACAGCACAGGTCCCCTAAAGCCCACTCTGTGCTCCAAGGGCCCCTGTGGTCCTTGTTCCAGGGTGCTGTGAGGGGGGTGATGTCTGACTGTTTCCCTCTTGCTTTTGGTGCAGTCATAAACAGGAGACACAAGGTGAGGGAAAATTACAAAACAAGTTTATTAAAGTCTAACATAAAACACTTCAGGCTAAATATGTACAACCCCCTCCCTTCCCTGGGGATTATAAAATTGAGAGTTGAGGTATATACAAACAGCAGAGGAAAAATTGTATATACATGACATACTTTAAAAATAATTTAACCAAAAAAATCAGTTATTAGTCCTTATCTGAACTTAATTCTGCAAGGCTTATTGAGCCTCTCCGGGATCACAGCCCTGAAATCCTTCATGTGGGACTTGTCTGTACTTGAAAATTGCTCTTTAACAAATGATATCAGAAAGGTTGTCATGCTTTGTGCCCACTTACGGGCACAAATTTGGAAGTAAATGTCATACAAGGAGCTATTCTCACCTAAATATTTCCAAGCAGCCAATTCAGAGATTTCTAGATGCAGAGAAGCTATTCAGGCAAAACTTGCACCAACTTCAGTGCAAAACTGACTGAAACAACAGCTTGTGTCATTGTCTCTAAATGACTGTTAACAGAATTATTAAAATTCCTTCTTTCCTTTTGCAAGGAGACGTCTGCCTACAAAGATTCCATGCTTTCCCATATTAATCCCTTACAGAAATGACCAATACTGTTATGAGCCTTGTACCTCCCAAATGAACCCAGAATCCCTAAGCCTAGGACTTCAGATGTGCAGCTGATTTCCATGCATCTATTGGCAAAAGGTACAGTCCAGACCCACAGCCTGAACACACCTACAAATATATTTATAAATATATATACTTAAAATCTATATTCTAGTAAATGAATACAGTTTGTAGAGATCATACCTCAGCAGCTGAGATATCTTCACGAAAAATGAGGCTAAAAATCAAGATTCTCAGATGGGGACTCAAGAGTGCAGGTCACTAAATTATTGCTCCAAGACAAAACTACAAGCCTGTGTATTCTATTAAGAAAGGTTAAAATTGTTGTCTTGTAAAAAATAATGATTATCTTCTTGTCTATAAAGAAAACTAAATGACTAATAAAGCAAGTGTTACTGTTATAAGTACCTAAACAAATCCTGTATAAATCTAAGCACTGTATTTTTTTAAAAAAGTCTGAAATCTAAGAATACAGTAACAAGCTATAATTTTAGAAATATAAAACCAGTCCAAACGAACACTGTTATGGAATGCATTTTCTATGTAGGAATGTAATTATTGTTTAGGTTTCTTTCCAGAGCTAGTTCTCTCTCATGGTCATTTATCCTGGACATGTTTACCTTCAGCTACTTTTCCTCAGGGAACAGCAGCATATCGTTAGTTTGTCTTCCAAACCTGTTTAGATATGGAAGTTATCAGTTGCAGGGTGTTTCTTTCTCAGTATTCATGACTAAGCCTACATCTGTCCCAAGATTTCTGCTCTATTTTCAGAGAGAGAAAGTAAAGAGGAAGCTTAGGACAAGCTACACACAGAAAAGATCCCGATCTTTGGGGTTTTTCAGTCTTAAATGGCAAGGCTAAGGAATCCCTCAGGGGCTACAGCAACAACAGGAGCTAAAAGAGAAAAGAGGGGAGGAAAAGGGGAAATGCCAAAGAAACAAGAAAAAAAATACCAGAGAACTTCATCCTTTGTCTTCTGCTAGTGTTTTGAACATCAGCTCTTCATAAATGTTGTGGGACAGAGAGATAAAGAAATTAAAGGTCAGGCAGGTCCAGCAATAATCAGCTCCAGTGGACAGAATGAGAAATTCCTGAATTAAGGATGTTCCCATTGAACATGGCTGTACTCTTGCTGTCCATGGCAGACTTTATCAGCCAATTTACCATATATTAAAGCATAAAATATGATCGAGCAGCAGGTTTTAAACGTGGCATATACTAAGATGATCAACACAAAGAAGCAAAAGGTCTATTACAAGTACAAACATATAGGAAGAGAAAAATAAATCTATAGTCATGGTCAGGAGTCAGGGGATCACTCGCAGAATATTTAGATGAAACCCTACAAGAAATTTTTCATGAGTCTGTTTCATTAAGGTGCAGATTAATTATTACTCCGTGTAGAACAGGATCAGTTAAGAGGTATCTCCTATGCTCTTCTATTTATCAGTGTCTGGACACAAGGCATCAGTGGAAATAAATGCTAGCACCAAGTAAATAAACAACAAAGTACAACTTTAAATGCATTGTTGGTACAGTATGATCACTGTTTCATTACTATTTGATGATTACTTAAATAATGCTTACATTGCTAATGGCACAAACTGGCAAAATAGAGTAGGAGAGTACTCCTATGGTCACCTAGTCTTTTATGACCCTACCAAGACACTAAAAACGTTGCTTTTTAAATATATCTGTTGCTAGGAATAAAACGTATCTTTATATGGGCCTTGCTAAGTACCAGTTTTGTGCATTTACTGTGGACAAGTGACATGAGAGTTAAAGCAATACACAAAAACTTCAATTAAATTAGTCACACTAACAAAATCTTCCCTGGAAGAATATCCATCTGCTCTGCTGTATTAGTCTTTAATACCCCCTCATGTAGTGTTCACTTACTATTTTCACAGTGAAGGGCAGGATTTATTTCCTCTTCTGGACCTCCTGTCTAGCACAAGAAGCAGCACTACAGTAAAAAAAGGATTATGAAGCTCTCGTTGACGCCTCACAAATTAAGTCACTGCATCTTTTTGTCTCATCTACAACACCCATGTTCCAGCTCTTCTTTTGTTGCTGTTTGTGCCAAACCCGGGGCAGTTTAGGGATGTGAACAATAAATCTGGGACAAGATATGACAATGCTGGATTGACTTAAACAAACTAACAAAGGCAACTTGTTGGAAAGAAAACCCAGTAGTTACTATGCCATTAGGACCCTCTGACTTGCCACACTACAGAAAGAAGTTAACCTTCCTTTACTCGTCTTGTCAGGAAAATACACCCAAACCTTTTTTTCCCTCTGGTCAGGCTTCACCTGCAGATGGCACTTCTGGCAGCCAGCAGCAAATCTTTGCAAGCACCTCAGCAGAGCCCTGACCGACCTTCCCCATGGACCATTCCAGCACCTTGGAGTGCAGGCTTATGAATATAGCCAAATTATGACTTTCCCTTGCATCTCTGGGTTAATATTCTTAAACTATTAAATATGGCTTAAAATATCTGTTCTCAAGTGACACTGTGACACATCAAATCAGCAGAAACATGGGAGATCTCCAAGACACATTAACATACGTAACAGAGAATTCTTAAGGCAGGTGTTGCTGGAAAGGAATCGTCTCCTGGAAATCAGTGTTAATTGCAAATAGAAATCTGATTGTAGATTAGCACAATTCAGCACTGCACGATGGAAATGCCTTACAGGTGTCTTTACACAAAGGGAAAACAAAGAACAAGTCCAATTCAAAGAGCGTGACTGCTTGTTTGATCATGTGCATCTTACCAAATGTTTGCAGGTTCACTACCAAACTACTGCTCTGTCAGTACAACTGCTGCAAGAAAATGAACTGAGGTTCTGAGTATCCAGTCACAGCAGATCTCAGCAATGTTTCTGATGAAGGGGACTGGCTCCCCGTCACGGGAAGCAGCATCTGGTGGTCTTCAGTCCCAATGGGAAGAGGAAGTGCTAAAGACATCTCAGAGGGCTTCACATCTATGGACTCCGACAAAGGACTTTTCTGACTCTGAATGGATTCTTGTTCATTGAAAGAATTATCGAGTGCATTAGAATCGGGGGGAGTTTCGGGTCCTGAGGAAAAGACAAAAAAAAAAAGAGATGTTTAAAAGTTCCTGTGCAAATTCTGCAAATTCCTTCTCAACTGACTGTCAAAGCCAACACTAGGTGTGTTGCAGGCTGCCTGGACAGCTGGGATACCAGTGGCTTCCATGTGCTGTAAAGCCAGAGCAAGCTGTAAATACAGTGTAAGCACAAGGAATCACATCTGCTGCTGCTTGTAGTGTGACAACTAGAAGGATGATGCATTCCAACCTGATCTCTACTTGGCATGGTACAGGAGATAACAAATCCTTAACATCACAGTGAACAAAGGACCTTTAAAAAATGTAGTTATGAAAGTTTCCTTGAGATTTCCCACCCCAGAAAATCTCGGAACCAGAGCCACAGCCAAGCATCCTTCTCTAACTAAGGTAGCAATGTACAATGTATCATTTATCCATAAACTTCTTTGGAAGAAGATATTTGTTAACTCCATTCCAGCCAGACACGTTATAGATTTTATCCAGTCACTTGAGAAATGACTTTCTATTCCTAATTGAAATCTCTGTTAATGGGCTCCTCGCTGCCTTCCTGTTTGAACACAGCCTGACACTGCTCTTGGATGGCAGTGTTAAACTACACTGGATATCTGACCCTTCCTCTTTCAAATCATGCTCCAAAGCCTGTTCTTTCAGTGCTGGGGCACTTCTGTCTGCCTTCTGTCTCTCCATGAGAGCTGGCCTGCCTTGGCAGCTCTCCCAGCTCACACCCTTGGGCTCTGCCGGGCCCTCTGCACACTTAATGCTGCTCTCCCCTCACCCCCGGCTTCCTGCTGCACTGGGGCCTTCCTAAATTCAAATCTGTCTCTGCACATGGCTCTTGCTTTCTCATTCTCTCTCTCCCAATCCAGATGGGCACAGACACCCATTATTCCTCTTTCCATATGACAGAGGCAGGGATTTATGGCCAATACACAAGGATGGACAGATGAGGTGTACAGAGCCACTCCTGAACAAGGCTGGATACCTGAACATCTCTAAAGCAGTAGCTTTTGGCTCTAAAAGAGAACTATTATCCAAAAATCTTTTATTTTCTAATTTTAGGCCTGCATGAGCAAAAAGATTTATTCAGCACTGGAGGCAAAAGAGCTGATGTAGTTCCTTAACCTTTCTTTGCACAAAGAACTCACCTGCGTGAACTTTCGTTTTGTGCTTCTTTAGATTTTTTATATCTGTGTAAGAATTTCCACACATTTCACAGATAAATGGTCTTTCACCTGAAAAATATTGGTTTGGTAGTTAGAACAATCTTGACATTGAAAGAAAATACAGTTAGAGATGCAGGATAATGGATTTCAGTGTTGTATTTTAAAACACAACTTTGTAGCTCTTAGTTTGTCTGTGCGTCTGTATTCAGAATAAAATTGTTTCCAGAATAACAGTTTAAAATAAAGCAAGAAGGCCTTAAAAATTTAAAGTAAAGCCTTGATCATACATCAACACCTACGCTGGTGCAAAGATACTACTCTGAAAAAGGCAATTAAAAAAATGAATTACTTTTTTCTTTACATTATGTTAGCCCAGAGATGCATAAATTAAGAAAATCTGCTACTTTCAGGTACAGCCCAATACAGTGCATTTTAAAGGCAAAAGGGTAGAATATAATTTAAAGTGCAGGAAGCAGCTTGTCCGAAAACTGACCTGTATGGGACCGAAAATGTTTATTGAGCTCTCCAGAGGAAATAAAACTCTTTTCACAAATGCCACAGATATATGGCTTCTCTCCTAAAGGAAACAAGGACTCTGTTATTTCAATACATAAACCAGAATACACACAGAGAACAAATCAAACTGAAATGGAGGTAATGTCCAGTGGGAGAAAGAGCTCCCTAAACTGCAATCAGAGGGAAAAAAACATGAGAAAGGAACTAGATGACAACTCCAGAGGTAAATTCTGTGTCATTACCCATCTCCAACCCTTCTGCAGGATCCAGCCCTCCCTGGCCAGGCCTGTTTGTGCTCCGTCCCTTGCAGGTCCCTTCCAGCTCTGGGATTCTGTCCCCCCTTACCTGTGTGTTTCCGGGAATGGGTGATGAGTGAGCTGGAGACAGCAAAGGCTTTCCCACAGCTGTCACACACGTAGGGCTTCTCCCCGGTGTGGCGCCGGACGTGGTAGGTGAGGGTGCTGGCCTGGGCAAAGCGCTGCCCGCACCGGTCACACACGTACGGCTTCTCCCCGC